AAGAAAATCCTTCAGAGCTGTGTTGTGTTCCTGCCATCATGGGGCTCGCTCTTTAATTGAGAAGAAATGTTCTTACTTCAAAACTGAGGAAAATAAAAAACACCAAGACAGAATGACAGAAATTTAGTACAAGCTGTGAGTGCCATGGGAACTGAAAGAGGGCACTGGTCTCTGAGCTGTCCTACTGTAAACCCACGTCTTTATAGAAATAAAAGGTGGAGAAAGGGATGGATACTGAGTAGGGAGGTGACAGCAGTGGCTGTTAGTGACATCACCTAGACTAGCCAGTATCCCTTAAACTTGCCCACTCCAAGTCCATAGTACCCTGAGCATGTACTGAAATAACATCTTTCGCCCCAACTAACCTGTAAGAGGACAGAGCTTATAACCTTCTCCTAGCTCCCCAAATCCCTGGCACATAATAATAAATGCAGTTCTTAACTTAAACTGAAATGGCGTGTGACATAAAATGGAATTATTACTTAAAAACATTTAGGGTTTTTTTTATCAATTACATGCTTAATTGATGACGTAGATTGATTCTGTGATTAGGGTGGTGGGAGTAAGTGAGTTGGAGACGGGGAGCTTGGCCCAGGATAGAGCAGGATTTAAGGCTCTTGTACATAGGGTTGCTATGAGTCTCAAGCAACTCGATAGCACATAACAACAACATGCTTTTTTTTTTTTTAAAGTTCTGTTTCAGAGTAAAAGCCATTTGTTACAACCTGTCAGTTACGCGTTCTATTTTCTGTACTTTAGAAACTTTTCAAAAATGAGAAAGAATGGAGTGGAGGGAAAAAAGAGTTTGCTAACAAAAACCCCAGCATGAAACTAAAAATCTCTGCCTTTATATGTCTTCAAGTCTCTAACGGAACTAGATGCTGTTTCAGAACAGTTGCTGTTTCTAATCTAGAGCACTCAGTGACATTATCAGACTAGAACAGCAGTACCCCTTCTCGTTACTGTGTTAACACAGTGTATTTGAAAGTAGAAAACCACTGTGGCTAGCTTTTGTCTGAAAAGAGCTCTTAGAGTAGAAAACTGTTTGATCTTTTATTTGTTGTGTTCTCCCTAATGGGGGGTGGGGGAAAGTTACAGGATACTTAGTGTGCATATTTATTACAATTTATCCCCCATTTTGTTTGGTCTCTAATGTGCTTCCACTATAGTGGAGGTGTCTGTTCTGGCCCACATCAGAGGGTCAGGGATGAGTTCTTTCCTTCAAGATACTGCAACATACACTTTTTCATTTGTAGAACTGAGTCCCCACAGAAAAACTCAATGGTGGATATAAAGTATAATTATTTATTCTAGTTGTGAGATAGCATTCAATAAGATATTAAACAAAGCCAAACATAAGCTCTATCTTTTATAGGATATAATTTAAAATAGACTTTAGAGGTGTAATTTTAGTAAAAGATATTTTCTATATTCTGTGAGTATTGCCTAGATGTATGTTTTTAAAATTTATTTATTAATTTTAATGAAAGTTTACAGAGACTTAGGGTTTTCAGTCATTCATTGTTGTACTTTTCTCCTAGCCCACCCTGCCCAAATTACTCTTCCCCTTGAAAAGAAAAAGAAAAACTCTTTCATTGTTACTCAATCCCTACCCCCAAGTCCACTCCACTTTGCAAGCCCTCATTCTGGACTTCTGTAATGACGAGAATACCCATTCATATATTCTTTTTAAACAGATCTCTCCCTCATCTTAGATGTATATTTTTTTTGTTTACTCTACCTCATGACACCTTATCATTGTGTTTAATAAATTCTTGGGTCAGAACAGCTAATAAGTGTTATTTAGATTCAGAATCCTGGCCCTGTGTATTTAAAACCTGAGTCCATGTCCTTAACCATTGTAGCAAAGATGTCAGCTTTGTACCTACCCTGTGAAAAGGAAACCAAAAGTTTTGGCAAGTACTGAAATGTTCACCAAGTCATAGTTGACAGGCCTCCGCTGGGCTCTCTCCCAGAGCCTCATGATTGCTACTGGCCAAGTAATGTGTTGACCTTGCAAGAGGTAAGAAAGCACAGCAGTCCATTGGAGAGCGTAAGCATCTGTGACACTGTGGAGAAAATGACTTACAAGCCACCAATTATGTTAAGGAGTGATAAGATTTCCTGTGGAGACATGAACAGACAGTACAGGAACACAGCAAGGCTTGCCCCACTCTACTTGGGAAGAAAGAGAGCTGTCAAGGAAGGCTTGATGATGAGTCATGTTTTAAAGAGTATTATATGAGCTAAGACGGAAAAACCAAACCAAACAAAACAGGGAACTGTTCTAGCCCCTGCAGAGAACAGATGCATTAGCATGATTTATTTGGGAGGTGAAGAGTAGCTAGAGTTTTGGGTACATAGGGAAATGACGAGGGATGGAACCAGAAAATAAGTGAACTCTAGAAAGTCACAGAATTTACTTTCATTCTGCCAGTATTTCCAGTGTTTTCCGTTCTACTGAAAACACTATGAACACTAAAGGAACAAGGATAGTCTGTTCTGTACTGTGTAGGATATTCTTGATTCCACAGAGATCAACTTGCAATCCTCTCACCTCCAGGATTTCTCTCTGGGTTCATCTGGTCCCCTTTGTTTTTTAGAATATTCCTATCACTATACAAACATTCCCTACTATCTCATTAAAACTATATTAAGCCATCTCTGGATCTCATCTTTCCTCAGTTCTTAAAATATTTCCTTCACTTTGCTTACTTGAATTGACACATTTGTAATTTCTTTATACTTTATTGTTGGATTCTTCTTAAGTTTCATTTATTAATTGGTTTGCTTACTGAAAGATCAGTGGTTCAAAATATACCAGCCTACTCTATGGAGGGAAAAGGAGGCAATCTGCTTTCACTAAAACTTAAGCCTCTGAGACTCTATAGTGGGTTCCTAGGAGTCAGAAATGACACAGTGGCAGTGGGTTTGAGTTTAGGTTAGGTTTTCTATTCTAGTCACAGGCCTCAAACTCTTCACCACTACCCTTCGGTCTCCCCTCCCTGCCACTGTCCCACCCCCACTGGTTTCATTTAGTGCCTATGGTTTTAAATACCATCTATAGAGATAACTGTACAATTTCTTCACTCATTCCTTACTTTTATCCCCTGCTTTATATTCATATCTGTTACTGTGTACTTGAGCTTTTCATAGCAGCTGGTAGTAACACTGTGCTCTGGTGGAATTCCAGGCCTCAAGTCAAGGGAATTGTTGAATTGAGGACTAAGCCTGTGCATCCCTGAGTAGGCAGTATGCCCTGAACTAAAACAAGGGGTCCCTGGATGATGAAATTTCACCTCACATACTTTGGGCATGATGGCAGGAGGAATCAGTCCTTGGAAAATGACAAAATGCTGGGAAAGGCAGAAGGCTGTGATGAGACTCTAAGGGTTAATAACCTAAAAAATAGGAAGAGGAGGAGAAACTTGTAAAGAATAATAAAAGCAAATAGGAGGATAGGAGCATATGTGGAAGCCGTGGAAAGATTTGAGAACAGCATTTAATAATGGCAGTTGTCACTCAAATTTGGTAGGAGGAAGACTAAACTCTTAGCAACTAGAAGCCACTCAGTAGTAACCTGAGCAAGAATTATTTCATTAAAGAGCAGGCAAAATAGGAGATGTAGTAGTTTGAAGAGTAAGTGATGAAGAAATGACATTAAGATAGAATATGCCTTCCAAAAGGTGGGAAGGATAGAGGGAACTCAGGTCTGCATGCTTGGAGGAGAAAGGACTGTATTTGAGAATAGAGGTCTACAAGGGCCTAAGGTTCTTGATTAGAGAATTGAAGACTCTCGGGATGGAGAAAGATGATACCAAGCCATTATAGCCCTTGGATACAGATTGCCACAGAGGGCCAGGCTATGGCTGGAGATTGTCCATTTTTTTTTCTGGCAGTAATTGCATGGCTATGTCCCAGTAGTGCTCCTCCCTCCAGAATGCAGGAGATGGAGTGATATGTTATCAACTTGATCAAGGTTTTATACTGGCAGAATAATTGTGACAGAAAAATAAGAGGAAAGAATATTAGGAAGTAGGTAAGTTGAGTCAAAAATGAAGCAGGCAGGTAGGATTTGGAAAGAGAGATTGAGAACAATAAAAGTGTAAGAAAGTCTACAGAGGCCACAGAACTGAAGTAAGAAAATAGTAAGTGGCAGGTAAAGATGGTTTATTTAGAATTTCAGGATTTCTTAGAACTGTAGAATTTAGAATTTGGAGAGATGAAAGGTTCAGAGTAAGGCCACAGGATTACTGGATGATAGATACGGAGTATGGAGAACTAGGTTAAGGTTAGATCTTTACACAAGGAAGTACAGCCACTCCATACATCTTGAGATTCTCCTGCTTCAGGGAGGCTGGTGAAGATTGAAACTGGGGCCTCCAATAAGTGATGACGAGTTGTTTGGTAACCAGAACAGAGCAGTGAGAGAAAGATGATGTGAAGTTCAAAGGAGCACAAGGTATTGTGTGAGATGGGGCTAGGGATACACCGAAAGCAGAAATGAGGAGTTAGGAGAATGCCAGACTGAGTCTACTGGAGCTTTTCCCAATGCTGGCAGGGCCCAAGCTGTAACTGCTGAAATAGATGGCAAGTCTTGTTTACTGGAAGATAAGGAACTAAGGAAATTCATAGGTAAACAGTAAGTCATTCCAGAGGAAGACAGATGAAGAGGTGAAAAAGGATGCCACAATGTTAAATTAAGGGAACCTGAATGGGCTTTTAAAAAAATTCTACAAAATAATGTGAAATAAATTGAAACTGGGGAATAAATGCCCTTGTTCCTATGAAGAACTGTGTGTTTTTAAATTTAAAAAAAAAAAGGAAAATATATGATTTTGATTTCTGTGAGAAATGCAATTTAGTATTTGGAACTTCTGAATTTTAAAATTCTTTTAAAGAATGATGAAATAATATCTTTAAAATGTAAGTGCTAATATTTATGTGTGTGTTGTCTTCTATTTTGTTTTTCAAACAGGTTGTTAATCAAAAACCAACTTTATGGATCCAGGACAGGCTTGTCCCATGGCCTGCTCTGAGCAGTGTGTTGTTTAAGAGAAGATTTCCACTGGCAGACCATCTCTCTATTGCCTTACAGAGAAAGCAAAGAAGATGGATCAATTGAAGAACCATCTGACTCTGTGCTTTTTACCTTCTGTGCCCTTTTTAATCCTAGTATTCACTCTAGCAACTGCTAAGAATGTGACCAACAGCCCTTTAAATGACACTGAAATGGTCTTGGGATCTGTGCCCGTAATCCTTGCCACAACGGACCATATCATAGTCAAGGAAGGGAACAGTGCCTTGATTAATTGTAGCGTTTATGGCATCCCTGACCCACAGTTCAAGTGGTATAATTCCATTGGCAAGCTGCTGAGAGAAGAGGATGGCAAGGACAGAGGAATAGGTAAGATTTAAAGTTTTGCCAAATGACATCATATATTCAGTATGGACTGTGAAGCCAGCTCCTTTAACGCAGCACCGTTAATGTGAGGGGTTCTTATGCATGTCCGTTTTAAAGATCTCTTTTTCAAACTGGTTTCCTAAGGCAAAAAAAAAAAAAAAACAACACCCTGTTTTTCCTTAAGGACCCAAGACAGTTATTAATATAACTAATTTTTTTCCCTCCCATTTCTTGGGCTTAGAAAGATCAGACATTAAATTCTTTTAAAAGGTCTCTTGGAATTTTATAATGCGCATTTGAAACAGTATAGGGACACATGTAAAATGAATTTCCATTAAGTATATTTCCCAGTTATAAAGGAGTTTTGTCTTACTTAATGGAAATGGCTTGAATAAACAGTATAGCAGTTGTATCAGTTTAATACTACTTCAATTCCTTGTCTGTGGATTTAAATGCCATGCTTCTTTAAAGAAGCCTCTGTGAAACTTCTCAGCCACTAACACTAGCTCAAGGTGGTTCTGTCCTGGAGTCTTGAATGTTCCAGACATCTGTGGTGTAGAAGGGGGCAAGGATCCATGCCAGGAAGTAACGTGACAAAGAAGAAGGCTTGGTTTTTAATGGATGAGGTTCTGGTTTTAACCAGTCATGACCTGGCCAAAAAATATCAATCATCTTACCGGGCACCTAGCTTACTTCAGAAAAGAAACCAGCTGGAGAGAGGATTGGGTCGTTTCGAGTAAGTCTCCTGCCACTGAACACATTTCTTGTTTTAGATATGAGAAGTAATTGTCTGGAAACCCAAGTCTGGTCTGATTGCCTGAAGGAGTTAATGTATTTTCCTAAGCATTTAATGTGTGGTGAGTTAGAGAGTTAGAGTTGGGGGGTTTAAAAAGACCATGATTCTGAGGTAGCAGAATATTCATTTCTGCCACCCTTCCATTCATGTTGTTCTCCTCATTCCATGACCTTTCAGCCATGAATCGTCCCCAGAAGAGTTTCTGCTCTAAGAAGGCTTACATTTCCCTTCTCTTTTCCTCATTTTATCTTAATTGCTCTGAAAAGAAATAGAAGTTAATGCCTCCTCTCTCCTCAGGAGCTTAGTGAGTGGGGTTTTCTTGCAATTACACACTCAGGCACATAGCTGTGCTCCTTGTGGTTGACGCTGATAACACATCTTAAACTCCTTTAATTGTGTGCTATCACTTGCATGACTTGGCTGTCAAGTGTAAAGATGCTACTTCTTCCGTATAGTCAAAACACATATTATGCATTGTGTACAGATTAATGCCGTAGAGTGGAATTCTTTTCCCACCAAGTACAAATCCAGGAAGGTAGAATTTTTAGATTAGGAGACAAGGTAGTCCAAATTCCTCCTTTACTGAATTTTCCCAGGTTTCTGCTTGACTAGAATTTTTACAACAAAAGATCAACAAACAAAGAATAAAGTCACACCACTCCTAACCCACAATTGATTTCCATTTATACAGCTCTTACCTCCCCAGTGCCAAGTCAGGAAGTGACATCACACTTGTAAAGGGTGTTCAGTAACCATGACAACGCATATATACACTGAGGCCCCTGAGCTTCCCCAGGTCTTCCTGCAGGGCTTGACTGATGTCCGGGCAGCTGAAGTGAGGGCAACATGGACTCCAGGTCTGAATCTATTTTTACAAAGACCTTCAAGCCAAGGTTATCCCTGATATTATAAAAAACAGAGCTAGGACCCTGGGCCCTCAAGTCTTAGTAAGAAAATTAGAATAGCATGCTGGGGCCTGAATTTCTGAGTCACAGCATTTTGACTACTGTCCCAAATTAGTAATTTACTGCTTCAAAGAGATAATTGTACTGTCTTTTTTTTTCTTTTACATTTTATTGTAGTAAAAGTTTACAGAACAAATTTTTTTCCCACTCAACAATTTAGACACATTTTGGTTTGTGATATCAGTCGTAAGCCCCTCAGTGTAACAGCATTCTTTCCACTCCTGGCCTGGATTCTCCATATCAATTGGCCATCTTTTCTTTTCCTTCCTACCTTTGGCTCTTTTGCTCTTATACAGACTTATATGGTCACTTATTCTGTCTGAGGAGTATGTTCCTCGTGATGTTATTATTCACTTCCTAGGCCTGTCTCTGTTTGAACAGTCATCTCTGCTAATAGGTGCAGTTCCAAGCTTGTAAACGTGATCTTTAATTTAAGGTTCTGTCACTGTGTATAGACCAGAAAGTTTGGGGGGTTTTGTTTGTTAGGTTGTGTTCTTTTTTTCAGACTTGTAATTTTGTCCTGTATTTTCTCACACTCCTTCCAGGACCTTCTTTTATAATCCTGACCAGGGCAGTCAGTAGTAGTAACTGGACACCATCCCATTCCTCTGGTCTCAGGCTTACAGAGGCTGTGGTTCATGTAGTCCATCAGTTCCTAAGACTAATTGGTTACTGAGTGTTTGCTTTTGTTCATTCTCAATTGTTTTGGATGGGAAGAGTCAACAGTTGTATCTTAAGTCGCTGCTCACAACTTTTTAAGATCCTAATAGCTACTCATCAGAGTAGAATTTAGAACATTGTCATTATAGACTGTAATGCCAATTGACCTACGTGTCCTTGAAACTCTGTCCTAAGATGTCTTAAGCCCTCAAGCCTAGTGTTTTGTTATGGCCAAGAAATTTACATAACTTTGCCCTACATATGCCATCTGCTGTATACCTGGATACATTTCCAACACATACAGATATATATCTGTATGTCCTCTGCCAAGGATGTGTTCATGAATGTATTCCCATAATCCATCCTGAACCTTTTCTGCTTATGTAAGTATTTATGTATCCACTCATAAATTAATATATGCTATATTGGCTCCACAATCAACACTTTTGCTACCAGCAGCCAGGAAATTAAAAGATGGATTGTATTGAGAAAGTCTGCTGTCAAGGACCTCTTCAGAATAACGAAGAGCAACAGTGTCAGCCTGGAGACCAAGGTGTGCTTGATCCAAGCCATAGTCTTACATTTGAAAGTTTGACATGACTAGTGATGACAGAAGAATTGATATCTTTGAGCTGTGGTGCTGGAAAAAAGTGTTGAATATACCATGGACTGCTAAGAGAACAAACAAGTTTGTCCTGGAGAGAGTGAAGTCAGGCTGCTCCTTGGAGGTAAAGATTCTGAGTCTTCATCTGACCTACTTTGGAAATGTTGCAAGGAGGGACCAGTCCTTGAAGAGGGACATCATGCTTAGGAGGGTGGCAGAACAGTGCAAGAGAGGAAGACCCTTAATAAAAGATGGATTGATTCAGTGACTATAGACAATAGGTTGGTACAGGATAGAGTGGGGTTTAGGGCTGTTGTGCATAGAGTCTCTATGAGTCGCAGGCAACTCGGTGGCACATAACAACAACATTCCTATCACCAAAACATTCGGTATATGATGGTACTTACTGACTTTATTACTCTCGCCAGCTTCTCAGTGTCGTCTTTTCCTTTGATCGTTTTGTGCTGTGCCTCCCACTTTCTGTGTATTACCTTTCCCCTCCCCAAGTTAGTACATCTACTATCTGGTTGGTGATTTTCCCTTGCTCCCACTAAAGGGGATTTCTTCCTGTGCACTTTTTTTAAAAATACATTTTATAGTAATAATCATCTTATACAATACTTGTCCTTTTGTGACTAACTTATTTCACTCAGATAATACCTTCCATATTCACCCATGTTGTGAGGTATTTTGCAAATCCAATGTTATTCTTTAACATGGTGTAATCTTCTGCTGTGTGTATGCATCTTAGTTTGTTTATACATTCATCTGTTAATGAGCACTTGGGTTGTTTCCATTGTTTTGCTTTTGTCAATAATACTGTGATGAATATGGATGTGCATATATCTATTTGGCTCTTTTTTTCACTACAGTATACACCTAATAAGGGGATTGCTGGATCTTATAGCTTTATTTCTAACACCATACCACTTTCTTTAATAGTTGTACCTTTTTAAAATCTTGCCAGAAGCATTCCAATCTCCCTACTGCCATGCCATCATGTGCTGTTTTCTGTTCTTTTGATCTAGACTATTATTACATAAATCCTATGATATCTTATTGTTATTTTGATCATTTCTCTTTGTGAATTGAAGATGACCATGGCAGTAGGTAATGGTTAACAATCAAAAGCATCTCTTCACAGATTTGTTAGCCACCTGAATATTCTTTAGAAGTGATGTCTTTTGCCCATTTTTAGATTGGATTGTTTGTCTTTCTGTTGCTATAATGTTGCATTTTCTATACAATTTACAGTTTAGTCCCTTGTCAGATAAAAATGTGGTTATGACATATCTGTCTGTGTTGTTGTTAGATCCTATTAACATGACGACAATTCATAGTAACTCTGTGAACAACAGATCTGAACTTTAACCTTCATCAACTTCACACTCTCTTATAAGCTTGAGTTCATTGTTACAGTCATTGTGTCAGTCCATCTTGTTAAAGGGCTTCCTCTGTTTCTCTGACCCTATACCTTTCCCAGCATATGGTCTCTTCCGCAGGGTTTGTCACTTCCTGAAAATGTACCCACTGTATGTGAGATGAAGTTTTATTATCATTGCCTCTAAGGTGCACCCTGATTGTACTTCTTCCAAGAATGACTTGTTTGTTCTTTTGGTAGTTCAGTCTCCAACACCATAATTCAAAGGCACTGATTCTTGTTCTGTCAACCTCATTCACTGCCCAACCTTAAGATGTATAGGAAGTAATTGAAAGACCATGATTTGGATTGAGTACACCTTAATCTTTAAACTGACATCCTTACTCTTGAGCAGTTTAGAGACGTCCTTTACAGATTTTCCCAGTGCAGCATATCTTTTGATTTCCTGATTGTTGTTACCCCAAGTATTTATTGTTAAATCCTTTGACAACTTCAGTCTTTTCTGCAACTATCATGATGTTGTCTGTAGGTCCAGTGGTGAAGATTTTTGTTTTTTTGATGTTGAGATGTAATCCATATCAAAGACTACAGCATTCA